ATTTGTGTGACGCATTTGTATCTGGTGCTTCCTTATACCAACATTTATGTGTTTAAACGGACAAACAGCTGTCGGGGTTTTGCACTACTCGACAGTTAACGTCCAGGTGCATCTATTGTCATGAAGAAAATGATGTGACCCATACGATCTGTATATACATCAATTAGTGTTTCAGTCATAGATATGATCATGGAATTATTCAAGTAACGATTAGTTTCCTGTATGACGATTAATCATAGTTACTGAATAATCTAGGTTTGAACTCCATGATGTGCACTGTCTTCTATAATGTTGAGGATAAACCTTTTCGATAAGTACTAAGTAGTATTAAACTCAACTCTAGGGCTTCTTCTTGTTAGGTTATATCAAACAATTGTAGGACAACTTAAATTCACGTGGTACAATGAGTTCTTTTAGGATACTATAGCTTTTGCAATATAGAATATAGAAAGGCGAGAGAGCGAATTGATGCTTGTAATCATTACAATGACTATTGATAAGTAAATAAATTATGGATAATGCAGTTAACAATACACTCATCTGTTGTTGAGCATTATTACATTTTGATGATTCTGTCTTCATCGTGCTCTGAGGTCAATGGAACAAAACAATCAGCCAGTACAAACGGATGGATGATGACTAAAAACAGTCAATCTCAAATAAGGCCATCGGAAATGACTGATTGAATGATTGTAGAATAAATCCGAAAAAATTATTTCTACTTGCTCTCGTGAAAAATTTTAATGAAATTATTCCCCTCCAAGGATGAATGGTTACTATCTGTATTCCTACATAGTTACAAATTCTTTTCTTAGTAATTAAAATTAAGTTATCTAATAAATGTAGATAATTAAAAATAGACCTAACTTTATGATATGCTGTCTTTGGTTAGTGTATTTGAAGGTTTACTATCACTTTATCTAATCATTTCAAATAATCCAAATAGTACTTATGCTAGACCAAAGATAATGGAGATTAAAATCATAGTGATATAGTTTATATTTTGATGTACGTTTGTTCTCTGAGCTGGATGGTTTGGTCGTGGAGCTTTCATCGTCCTTCTGAATGACATCATCAGCACATGTCATTCAGAAGGACGATGAAAGCTCCACGACCAAACCATCCAGCTCAGAGAATAAAACTTCATCAAAATCGTCCACCTGAGCTTCAAATCTTCTCCGACAGTTTATAGCTAACAGAAATCTGTTCTTCAAGAGTTTAAATTTTCTGAAAGTTATCTGGTACAATTCATCTCATCCTCGACAAAGATATATTATCTTTGCTAATAATTATCTAACAATGTTTTTCAAAGGGTTTATTACATGTTAAGAATGATACTCAGTTTTCCAGTTAAAATTTTCGTCACGAACGGTTATTAGGAGGAAAAATGTTGAGAAACAAATCAACAATATGATTACTTATTTCATCCTAGTTTACGATTGCATAAGATATCCAATCCATAATCTTTACGCTAATTGTTCGCTAAATCGTAATCAATTTCATTTTGATTTAATTCTTCGTACACTTCAAATCCTACCGATCAAGTTTTGATGTGACTTTATATCATTTGGATTATGAATTTATTTTAAGTAGTTAGTGAGCGTCTGGTTCGAATTCCACAGTAAGTCACTTTTCTTAATATTATATATACTTCTGGGTGAAGACCGCTGACTAACACGAAGCTTTATAACCTCATGTCTATTGCCCTGAACTATCTCTTTTTAGCTAGTCTTCCACAACAATCACTGATTAAATACTTTTTAAAACTCTAAAGAAAAGACTATTGTCAGTGGAGGCTGTATCATCTTTTTTTAACAGTTAAATTCACAAGTCAATCTAAATTAGACTCAGTCAGTCAGTCACAACATAGAACTTCGTACGTACGTAAATCAGTTCGAGTTGCCATACCACATTAGCACAGAGATGCAGTTGTCGATTCAAATTCCATAGTGGTAGAAGTAGTAAGAGTATAAGCAATAATTAGACTATTGTTTAACTATAATTTTTAAATGAGTTAAATAATAAACACTCGAAGTTGCTTAAAAAATATTACAATAAATTTTTGTTTTAAGAATTCTTCCATATCAAAAGGGGGTTTCGTGGAGATTTTAGTAATTTTTCATGTAGTTGAGATCATGAATTAATTGAAGCTAGATCAACATGGAAAACCTGGAAGCACTGAACGGCCGTTCCGTCCTATTGTGAAACTGCACAGTAGTGCACATCCACGATACCGCCTAGCGAGATTCGAACCCAGGATTTATCAGTCTCTGAGGAGTCCCACAATAGGACGAAACGGCCGTCAAGTGCTTGCAAGTTTTCCATGGTAGTCTAGCTTCAACTGACTCATGATTATCAACTATATTAAATTCTTCCATATGTTAAGATTTCTTATAATTCTCAGCTTTTTTGATTATGTCTTACTTGAAAACTTGAGAAAGTTTGATATTATAGTTCATATTTTATAGATTACAAAATAAGATATCCTACTGTGACCACACCTATTTAGTGTTATTGTTTATTTATTTATCAATGAGCATTCTCTCATTTTCCTGTTGTTGTTGTTGTTGTTTATATGTCTCCACCTCCAACTGTTTCATGTTTTGTAACCCTTTACACATTTTAAAATACAAAACGAAACGCTCATTGACTAAACTTTTTCTCTCAAGTGTGTATTTATTATTCCATACAAAACAACATGAAAATTTTAATACACCCATAAGATTATATTCATATTCAAATGATGGACTGATAGACATATAGTGATTATAATCACAATGGGAGTTGTGGACAGTTGTTTCATCCTAATATGGAACTCTTAAAGAAAGTGTATTCACGATCACGCATACAGAATTCGAACAAAGGACATTTGTTCTCTTGTGAGAACACTTAATCTGTAGACTATTGAGTCTTCATACAACGGTTTTAATGTCTAACTTTTATCAATCCATGAATGACTACGTAACAGTTTGTCCATTGTTTGAAATAGATACCTCTAGATCATTAACTAGGGGCATCACTCTTCTCTCAATACCAGGAAAAGTCTTCAACAGAGTATTGTTAAACAGGATGAAGGATTCCGTGGACGCCCAACTTCGAGATCAACAAGCTGGATTTCGTAAAGATAGATCGTGCACAGATCAAATTGCAACTCTACGTATCATTGTGGAACAATCAATCTAATAGAATTCATCACTGTACATCAACTTCATCGACTACGAGAAGGCATTTGATAGCGTGGACAGGACGACACGATGGAGGCTTCTTCGACACTACGGCGTGCCTGAGAAAATAGTCAATATCATACAGAACTCTCATGATGGACTAAACTGCCAAATCGTCCACGGAGGACAACTCACTGACTCGTTTCAAGTAAAGACCGGTGTAAGGCAAGTTTGCTTACTCTCACCCTTACTCTTTCTCCTGATGATCGACTGGATCATGAAGACGTCAACATCTGGAGGAAATCACGGGATACAATCGACATCTAGGATGCAGCTTGACGATTTAGACTTCGCGGATGATCTGACTCTTCTATCACAAACGCAACAACAAATGCAGGAGAAAACGACCAGTGTAGCAGCGGCCTCAGCAACAGTAGGTCTCAATATAAACAAAGGGAAAAGCAAGACTCTCCGATACAATACAATATGCACCAATCCAATTACACTTGATGGAGAAGCTTTAGAGGATGTGGAAACCTTTACATATCTGAGCAGCATCATTGATGAACACGGTGGATCAGATGCAGATGCGAGGGCAAGGATCGGCAAAGCAAGAGCAGCATACCTACAGCTGAAAAGCATCTGGAATTCAAAACAATTTTCAACCAACACCAAGGTTAGAATTTTCAATACAAATGTCAAGACAGTTCTACTGTATGGAGCGGAGACGTGGAGAACTACGAAAGCCATTATCCAGAAGATACAAGTGTTCATCAACAGCTGTCTACGCAAAATACTTCGGATCCGATGGCCAGACACTATCAGCAATAAGTTAGTGTGGGAGAGAACAAACCAGATTCCAGCGAGTGGAGGAAGAAATCAGAAAGAAGCGCTGGAAGTGGATCGGGTACACTTTGAGGAAATCACCTAATTGTGTCACAAGACAAGCCCTCACATGGAATCCTGAAGGTCAAACGAGAAGAGGAAGACCAAAGAACTCATTACGCCGAGAAATAGAGACAGACATGAGAAGAATGAAGAAGAACTGGAAAAGAAAGAACTAGAAAAGAAGGCCCAGGACAGAGTGGGTTGGAGAATGCTGGTCGGCAGCCTATGCTCCATTGGGAGTAACAGGCGAAAGTAAGTAAGTAAGTAAGATCATTAACTAACTATAACGAAACGGTTGTCCAGTGCTTCCAGGTTTTCAATGTTGGTCTAGCTTACATCGACACATGAATTCAACTAATGAATAAAACTATATACTGTATTAGACAATATGACCTCTAACCTCTATGATTCATAGAAAAGTTTTAAAAGATTGGCACAAATATTACATGTCATCAACTAACCAATCCTATATCTCTTTTACCTTTTCTAATTGACTAATATGAAATTAGGTGAGAAAAAAAAAGTGAAATCATTCTATTCTAACCATTAATAAGTTATGACAATAAAAAATAAAGGGTGATAATGATGGTGATTATACCATTCAATTATTTCATTTTAAACAAACAATTGAATATTCAATTCAATTTTGACCTGATTTTCATTTGTCTATTTTTAATTTATATAACAGACAATAAGTAGACCAAGAAGAAGACCAAGAAGAAAAAGAAAAAGAAGGAATAAACCAACAAAAATAAGTTATATGAAGGTTCTAGTAAAAGAAGAAAAAAATGTTATACCAGTGAAAAATCAAACCCCCTACCCCCTTCTACCCCTATCTCCCCCCTTTCATCCAACCCCCCCATACACACATATATAAATCTATACACAATAAATAAATATATATATATATATATATATATATATATACATGAATACGCCATAAATTAATGTTGATTGACATGCATTACTACTAATAGTAGACAAAATTGTATATAAATGAGTTTACTAAAGAAAGTATAAAAAAAATATATTTAAGTTAACAATTAAATGTCTACAATCAAATTGAACTTGGTAAAAAGAAAAAAATGAAGAATCATGGGAATATATAATGTGTATTAGTAAAATAGAATAGAGAAATATATTTGGATAAGCATATATACCAACTAAACAATTACATAAATGTAAGTTTAATACCTTTGATATTTGTATTAGTTATTATGATAATAATAAGTTAGTTGTCATTGACAATATAATATTGTTGCTTAATCAAGTTGAAGTTGGTTATCTCAGTTGATAAGGTCATGAATCTTCATCGTCTGAGATGGTTGGGTCACGTGTTGTTACGTATGCTAGAACATTGATTACCACGACGTACTATGCTGATTAGTATTGGGGAATGATTGGAAGAGAGTTAGGGTAGGCCAAATCAAAACGTGGCATCAGTGCTTGAAATCACTAACTTCTAGTCTAAGCCATGTTGGTAGATGCAGACTACTTGGTTGGGGTCCGCGTGACTATCGTAACCAATGGTTGGAGATTGTGTGTGACATGGCTCAGAATCGGTCACATTGGCGTAGGTGTATACACTCTTTTTCTTCCCTTAAACATTGAGAATAAAATTGCTTCATAACTTTCTTCCTTCCTATACTATAACCTTATATGCATATACATATACATATACATATATAACCTTATATATATATTATAACCACTAAATTAACTATGAATCCGGTGTTCATCTTGCTGTGATAACGAGGTATGGCAACTTGGACTAATGCATATATGTGTCTGGTCCTACGTTGTACTTGATTGACATTATTCTTACTGTAACAATATGTTATATAATTTATAAGTATTGATTTTGTTTTGAAGCTAATAGTACTATGTTTAAGTCTTGGAATGAATATTAACTTTAAGATGGAGGTATATTAAGCTGACGAGTCCCAAAAAGTATTAAACGTACATCTTAGCTTCCATTGCTAGTTACAAATTATCTCTAATTGAAAAGGCTTTTTATATGTTGTCTTTGAAATTTAGATATTCTACTTAAATAGACTTCATTATAGAAGGGTAACAACACCTTATGATTGTATACATTAGAGCCTATTTCACAAATATATATATATATATATATATATATATAGATGGATTGATAGTAATACATTAGCATACTATATTAGTATACTGTACGTTGTCCAGGTAAGGTGATCTGCCAAACTGGCAACTATTTCGTTTGTTTGTTTTTTACCAGAACAAGTAATCATTCAACTTAGATGTCGGTAATTTTTAAAAAAAATCATAAACTTTTGGGAGTTACTAGTGATTTATGGAGTCATAGGTTATATACGATTATACTAATTACAACTAAAGGTATTTTATTATATACAAACATAGATCCAATTTGCTTAGCTATTCTCCATCCTAATGGACAGTTAATTGGAGGTCTGTATCTTACATAGATCAGTTACAGAATCTAAAATGTTTAAAATTTTCACAGAGTTGTGTGTGAGTGTACAACAATTAAGAGATTTTCGTTTCATAGTATGAAACTTCCATTTTAATACTTCTAATCATTTCCCAAATTCAGTGACAGTGCATTAAAGATTAAAACAAATGTAAACTCATGAATGAAGAAAAGAGTTTTTAAGTCCCCAACTTGTCAATTGTTGTATTACTGGAAAAAATTTTACAACTGAAGAAAACGGGATCATTCAGTATCTAAATAGGTCAGTAGTTAAGTAGCTCACAACTTCAGATGTTTGAATTTTATGTCAAACGCAACCACAGAAGTAGTAAGAACAATGAAAACCAGGCCTTATACATTCTCTTGGTTGTACACATTAGTTACACTAGTTAAGAGTCATTTTCATGTTGAGTCATTTAGATAAGTGGCATATTCAGTGACATTGTTAACTCATGCTGTACACACTTAACAATTGAAATAACGATGATTTCCAGTTAAAATATCAACCCAAGCAAACGAACGTAGTCGTTATTTGAACAGACTTTAGTTGAAAATGTAAATCAATTGGATCTCGATTTACTATTTAGTGAAAAACATATCATGATCACTGAGATAAGCAATATAGTTTAAGGGTTGTATATAGATTGTTCACCGGTGAAAAGGCGAAAACGGACACGAAGGAGTTAGCTATCCAATTTAATGATTATATACGACCTATTCATACAGGTGGTTTATTTATGGTATAACTGGAAATTAAGATCTAGGATTGGTTTGATTATGTCAAATAAACCAGAACAGTGTTCCGACCTAATAATTTTAACTTTCAAATCGAAAAATATTGGTAGAAGCTCTGAAACCAGATTGTGTTAAGTGTCAGATCCTAATCTTCAGTTACCCGTATCACAACAACTTGTATTTCAATACAATCCTTTATGTAAATATAATTAGTATTATAAGCAGAAATGGATGGTAGCTATCAGTGGAATCCAGTACACGCGTTTCCTCTTGTTTGAAACTCGTCAGCGGGATGTACCTGCATCCTAGTTGGTGTTCATTCCGGACTCAAATCCAGTACCGTTCGCATCAAACGCCATATTTTCGTTCGTCTTTGTCTGTGAATTCACTATGTCGTTTAGATGACTTTCGACCATAAAATAAACTGAACATTTACATACAGGTTATTAGATCTGTTTTTTGTCGAGGCATATAAATGACATGTTTCCAAAAATTCATTGAGGTTCTTAGAATTTTCTGGACACAGGATTTCGATGTCATTTCAGTTCACCTACATCAACTGATTTGATGTTTGCTGAATAACTAAGGAGCTCACTGCTATACGGCGTATGTTCTGATGACGTTATTCAGAGCTACGACAAAAGCTCTGTAATTAAAGTATGTAAATCAGAGAACAAAACACAACTAGAAGCATTCATCCGATCTGTAAGCCTTCTGCAGCATATGTTCATCGCTCTTTGATTTGTCGATAGTGATCTTCTTGCAGATTTTTACTGTTAACAAAAATTACTATGAAAAAGAAATGACACAACATGGCTTCAATGATCTTAAATCATGGCAGTTTAAAACGCTTGTATTTATGTTGGCCAACAATAAACCTTTCGAAAGATATTCCCGTATACTTTCTAGTTGTTCACTGTTCGTAATAGTGTGGTGAACAAGAACACGAGTGGGGACAATTGAATGAATAAAACGCCATAATCATAGACTATTGTAAGTGATCTTTCGATTAGACTTGCATAAATTCATTACTTAGTCACTGATTAGTCAGACAATCAGTCATCCATGATTAATGTAACATTTTTCAAGATTATACCATAATACAAGTTGCCACATAGCTTCAATATGGTACAATGAAATCAATTATATGATTAGCGAAGGAGAAGTAATGATAATACTTTATTTACTAATGATAGAGAAACTAGACATAGAGAATATGAAAATAGGTTTTGTGGATATTATAGTAATTTCAATAGTTGAGATCATGAGTCAATTGAAGCTAGACCACCTTGGAAAACCTGGAAGCTCTGATGGTCTAGCTTCATTCGACTCATGATCTCAACTATTGAAATAGAGAATAAAAGTTAATAAAACGTAATAGATTGAGAGAATCAAAAGTAAGAGACAATATTATAATTTTAAAATAAAAGAAGTCGAATAAAAAGTTGGATCTACTGCCCTGTGACTAAATATCAGACTTCGGACAATATCAAGGCAGTTAGTACAAGATGCACATATGCAAATAAGAGACTGATCAATTGCAGTCCTAAATAACAATGTGAAGATACAAGTATACAACACGAAGTCAATATAAATTTACCACATTGCACAAGCAGGTGGCTATCAGGACTCAGTAGCTAAATGGAAAGCGTGATACCGTCTGAAGCGAACGGTACTGTGTTCGAGTCTTGGAGTGAACATCAACTCTGAGATGCAGACACATCCAGCTGACGAGTTTCAAAAAGGACGAAACACGCGTGAAACTGTATTCCACTTTTAGCCACTACCCATCTTCAGTAATAGTTTTAACACAGGTATCCAAATAAAGATAATTTCTCAACTGTTGTCAGTTCATTACACAAACAACCAGTGACAAAGTTAATTAACCACCTCCTTGAATCACTAAAACCCCTCAATCCTTTTTAGTATTAAGTTTCACGAGATATATAAAATATACTGGATTTATTACAAATTCTAAGCAGGAATCAGTCAATTATTTAATTAAATTTGTTACCTCTTGTGGAGGAGTATAAGCTGTCTACCAGCGTTCTTCATCCAACTCTATCTTGGATAATCCTCTCCAGTTTTCTACAATTGTTATTCATCCTTTTGATGTCTACTGAAGGATTAATCAAATAATCTTTATTTCATTTTCCTAAACTTATTATTATAAATAAATAACTATTTAGTTGAGATCATGAATCAATTGAAGCTAGACCACCATGGAAAACCCAGAAGCACTGGACAGCCGTTTCCCCCTATTGTGGGACCACCTTCTAATAATGATCGTATGCTTACTAGTGACTGGTTCCATGAGGTATTTCCTGGAGTTCTAGTGAAAAGCAGTAACCAGTGGAGTTCAACTAGGTCTCTTGGAAGATATCAACTCACTGAAGAAATCGGTGATTGAGTGCTCACTTTGATGGATTGGTTGAAGCTAGACATTGACGCCGTTGGATGCTGACCGGCTCAGTGGTCTAGTAGTTAAGCGCTCGCGTGCGAGACCGATAGGTCCTGGATTCGAATCTCGCGAGGCGGGATCGTGGATGTGTACTTCTGAAGAATCCAACAATCGGACGAAACAGATATCCAGCGCATCCAGGTTTTCCATGGTGATCTAGCTTCAATTGATTCATGATCTTAACTATATAAAAAACTACTAAAACCTCCACAAAACCCCCCTTCTGATAAAAAGTAACTATTTATTCGACATCATGTAAACATTTATTACATAATATTGATTAAAATATTACATAATCATATAGACACAATGTGTTTCCAAGCTGTTTAATCTTCCAGAGAAAAAAAGAAACTGACTTATTATGTAATTTATTAAATTATTCAAATTATCTCTCATAAATAGATTGATTAATGAATAGAATATAGAAAGAGTGAAATACTTGCTTAATCTTCAATATCACCTAACATATGTAAAATGAATTAGGGTTTTTCTTTTTTTTCACTTTTTTTAAAAATAATAATTAGTTGAATTAATGATGTAATGTCAACATTTTTCAAAGGAACCTTTTTTTTAAATTTTTTTTTTATAATTTTTAATTAAAATCAAATAAATTTTTTTCCCTTAGTTACTATTTTCTTAACTATTTTAGTATCCCACAGAGAAATTAATTAATATCAATCTATTCGTATTCATTTAGTAATCTACAATTTAGGAAGTATATTAGTTAACTATACATTGGATATAATATTGAATAGTAACTGATTTATAATTATGTATTATATATGTAATGAAGTTTGATATGAAGACTTTTGGGTAAGATTAGAATTTATGGACGATCTTTGAGAGATTCTAAAATAACCTTAACAATGTTAATCTATTAATTAGGGCTAAATGAGGGTTATAAAAAGCAGTGTTAGGAATAAGAATTATGGTTTACAGTTGATGGTTAGGGTTAGCAACTAGATTTAAAGTTTTGATTACGAACTGATATTAGCTATAATGCCGAAATAGTATTTAGTCAAATGAGTGGATGAATTTCAAGATAAATTTGAGATCCTATGATGGATTAAACTGGAAAATCGTACATGTAGGACAATAAACAGACTCGTTTGAAGTACAGATTGGTGTCTGGCAAAGTTGCTTACATTCACCCTTTCTGTTTCTCCTGATGATCGACTGAATCATGAAGACGTCAACATCTGGCGGAAAGCTTGAGATACAATGGTTAGCTAGGATGTAGTTGGACGATCTAGACTTCGCAGATGACCTAGCTCTTCTATCATAGACGCAACAACAAATGCAGGAGGTGATCAGTGTAGCAGTAGCCTCAGCAGAAGTAGGTCTCAATATACACAAAGAGAAAAGCAAGATTATCCAATACAACACATCAATTGTTACATACAAAGAATGCATTATAAATTCTGTGTGCGATCAATACTGACGAACAATTACGTTCTGTTTTGGAGCCCGTCAAATAGTATGACACATAGTTTAGTTCAAGCTGTGTTTTTCTTTATATGTGGACACAAAGTAAATTATGAAAGTATTTTTTCTACTAAGACTTCAATTTGTATAGACAACACTTTTGCTGTAAGACGAGGGTGTTTAATGGAGTTCGTTGTTAATTATTGGTTAATTACTGAGTAGTAATTGATGTGTTGCATGTTTGACTCCTTATGGCTGACCAAATTCAATTGGTCATGTTTGATATAGGAATTAATCCAAGTAATTCGACATCATAAGAACCATGTTGGAGCGTTGGATTGTTCGAATTAGTCTATAGGAAACCCAAGACATGTTTGCCACTCTTCATCAATGAGTATCTGTGATTTTAGGGGTATTGATGCTAACTGCGTGATTCAAGGCAGAGCAGCCGAAGTAATAAGATAAACATATATAAACAGATAAAGTGTGGCTAGCATTAGAATTAAAGACAAGCTTTTCGTTTCATTAGGGACTTATCAGTTAGTGTTTACTTTATGTTCATAGAAGAATTTAGTCCCAGAGTGAAAATCAACTCTGGTATGCATGCACTTTCCACTGACGAGTCCCTAATGTGACAAAAAGCGCGTCTTGAATTCCAGTGCTAGCCAAATTCCAAATTCACAATAGCTGTAACGAAATAATCTTCATAGGATTAACTTATATCAACCAAGACTGATTGAATTGTAGTTAAATAATCAACAATGAGATATTTCAAACTATTTTTAGAATGTTTATATGATCTACTATTATTTCAAAACAATTAAACTCAATTTTTAAACATTTATCCATACCAAGCAAAGATTGACAGTGGCTAGCAGTGCAATACAGTTTCACGCGCATTTCATCCTATTTATGACTCGTCACGTGCATGTACCTGCATCTCAGAGTTGATGTTCACTCTGGAACTTAATCCCAATATCTCTCTCTCCAAACGTCATCACGCTATCCACTCAGCTACTGAGTCCTGATAGCCACTTGCTTGTGCAATGGGGTGAAGTTTGAATTCACTTGGTACTGTTCGTTTGAATCTTCTCATTGATGTTTAGGAATGCAACTGGTCAGTCTCTTATTGACATGTGTACATACTGTGTGTATTGCCTCGATATATATAAGCATTCTAAGCAAAGATGGATAATGGCTAGCAGTGGAATCCAGGATGCACGTTTCGTCCTATTTATCCATACACTTTTCAGATCATATCATTTTTAAAAGTTATCAGAGAGATTAAAAAATTTTTTTTTCATAATTTAACAATAAACGATATAGATGACTGTATACTTTGGTATCAAGAATATAAGTACACATTTTCAATAAAATTAGATTGTCTTTTTGTTTTCTAATCTTTATTTATATCCATTCCATTCACCTTGTTTTTAAAAATGAAAATTAGACTGAAGAAACATGTCTGTCTCTAAATGAAAAAAAGAAAAAAAGAGGAGATAAACATAAAAAAAATAAAAGGGGGGGGTGGAGAGTGAGAAAAAAAAAGTACATCTCCCACTTTTCATTCGATTTTATTTTTTTTTCTCTTTTCACAATTTTTAAAAAATACATTTTGTACACTTTACACTTTAATACAGTAATAATCATTATAGAAGGAAAGTACTATAATGGAAATATGTTTAATCAAATACTAATATGCATTTATTGTACTTACATGTACCGATATACGTATATGTAGATGTATGTAGATGTCTTTTTAAGTGTGTATGATTGTTGTTTTGTAATGATATCATCATTTCATTAACCTTACTATTTAAACATTGAAGTATGTTAGCTTGCGTTGTAGTATATTCAAGAAAACTCTCTGTACTAAATATATAGACATGGCTAAGAAGTAAGAGTAAACATTTATAAACTCTGTTGGATATCCGTTTACTGGGACTATCTCCTTCTCTCTCTCTCTCTTTCTCTCGCTCTCATTTATTTAGTCATTTAGTTAGAGATGGATAGATAGAGTTCTCCTTCACTCTTTCTCTCTCTCGCTCTCATTTAGTCATTTAGTTAGAGATGGATAGATAGAGTTATAGGGTAATATTTGACTCTACTAATATTAATTTAGCATTAATGATTGATAGAAACATTTATTTTTGTTTGTTTATTTAATTAATATCTTATATACTATTGATTAGGAACTCTTGATGAAATAAAGTTTCTCTCTAAATCTTTTTTTTCTTTTTCCAATTTTATAAATAGTTTACTTATCTCCATGTTATTAGTACTATTAAAGAACCATGGCTTCAGTCTCACATAATAATGTTAATACTGATGTATATATATATAACACGTCTAACTGCATGTATCATAGTAGTAGTAGTAGTAGTAGTAGTAGTAGTAGTAGTAGTAGTAGTAGTAGTAGTAGTAGTAGTAGTAGTAGTAGTAGTAGTAGTAGTAGTAGTAGTAGTAGTAGTAGTAGTAGTAGTAGTAGTAGTAGTAGTAGAGACATTAGTATACCCAGTAGGTCTCGTTTTATATTGAAAGATTCTGATAAAAAGATACATGTTTAATATGTAGACTAAATACTACTACTACTAATAATAATAATCATAATAACTTTTAATACTACTCATTATGAACCATATCAACATATATATATATACATAGTAAATGATTTCTATCTATCTATATATATCAATTAGATGAGTCAATTCCAATGAATTCAACTAGGATGGAAATTTATAGGATGAATGTTTATTGTTTTATTATTTGTAAATTATCCTTATCCTTTTTTCTTAAAGGAATTTATAGATAACTAAGTCTATATATTCATGATAAAATAAGTAGTGAATTTGTAAATAATCATGATAATATCTATATACCTGAAAGGGATGCATGGCCGTTTCGTTCTATTATGGAATTCCTCAGCAATACGTATCCATGATCCCATCTCGCGAGATTCGAACCCAGGACCTATCAGTCCATACATAATATGTATTCATTATTTTTGTCTATGTAATAGAATGAAAGAAACACAATTTAATTCATTTTAAGTCACTTGATCAGTTTCATTGAACCACTGAGTCAGTGACCAATGAAGTTCAAGGGGGTCCGTTATGAGATAATAACTCACTGAAGACAATGGTGAATGAGTTGCCCGATCTCGAGAATTGTTTGAAGTTAGACATTAATACCATTAAATGCTGGCCGGCTTAGTGGTCTAGAGGTTAAGCGTTCGCGCGCGAGATTGATAGGTCCGAATCTCGCGAGACGAGATCATGGATGTGCACTGCTGAGGAGTCTCACAAAAGGACAAAACGGCCGTCCAATTACTCCCGGTTTTCCATGTTTGTCTAGCTTTAATTGACTCATGAATTCAACTATAAAATCATTAGAATCTCAACAAAACACCATATGAAGTAATTCATTTTTTAATTTAAAAAAAAGGAAATTATTTGTTTATTTAAACAACTGCTTGACTTTTCATGTTAATTAACTTTTTCTTATTGTGATTACATTGATCACTAATAATGTTTGATTGAGTTCAATATTATCTTAATTCAATCTAACTTACTAAACAGAAATTCATTCAAAAGAAAATTAAAAAAGAAAAACTGTTTACTTATATATATCCTTGATAAATAAAGGTTAATAATTTAAAGCAGTGTAATCCAGTTTTAAACACGTTTCGTCTTATTTAGGACTAGTCCGCTGGATGTACCTGTATCTCAGAATGGATATTCATTTTGGGACTCGAACTTAATACCTTTCGCATCAAATGACATCACGTTATCCACTCAGCTACTGAGTTTATCTTTGCTTACAATGTTTGTAAATTAAGGCTATATCAAGGTAAAACTCACAGTATGTACATATGCCAATTAGAGAGTGATCAATTGTAGTCCTAAACATCAATGAGATGATGCAAAAAAACAATTCCAAGTGAATTTAAACTTCACCTAATTTCATCAACAAGTGGCTATCAGGACTCAGTAGCTGAGTGGATAACTCAGTGGCATGTGAAGCAAACGGTCATGGGTTTGCGTCCCAGAATGGATATCAACTCTGTAATGCAGGTATATCCACCTGACGTGTCCCAAATAGGACGAAACGCGCGTCCTGGATTTCACCGCTAGGTATTATCAATCTTTGCTTAGAATTGTCTTTTGTCTTTTTGAGTTGTTAAATTTTACTAATTGATTGGTAAATTCAATTTCGGCAATATTATAATCTTCACAAACTACTATATTGATAAAAATTATGTACTCATTAGTGACTAGTTTCAAAATGAATTCCTTTCAGTCCTAATGAGAAACCATGACTACTGGGATGTAATCTGTGTTGCCTCTGAGACAGTTATTCATTTTAGATGATCCATAAAAGTTCTGTAAAATTAAAACATTTAAATCATTAAAAATGCTGTTGCGATTCAAAAATTATTCAATCAACCAGTTATAGTCAACGCTAGGATGATCTGATATAAATGTGTATCAGTTTAAAAGCATACTGAACTAGCACAATGTATTAAGCAATACATTTAGAAATTCCTTTAAGTAGCTATAATTTTAACTGTTGAATTCACGAGTGAATTCACGAGTGATCCCCAAGGGTAACCTAGAAGCACCGGACGGCTTTTTCGTTATAGTCCGGGACTCCCCAACAGTGCTGACTCACGATCACGCACGTGAGACTCAAACACAAAACCGTCGATATCACAGGCGAATGTTTAGTCTGTAGACCACTGAGCTGGTATTCAATGGTGATAATGCCTGACTTCAATCGATCCATGGTCCTGCCTAACCCTTCATCTATTTTCTGACGTGGATAACTGTTTCCACCTGGCATGGATCAGACTCCACTGGTTACCCCTTCATATATATTATATTTTCTGTTATGTTTCCATTGCATTTGTTCGGATTTGAATTTTTCCGTTTTTGATTTTAAGAATATAAACTAAGAATTAAAACTAACTAGTCCCTTTTTTGGCATATGCATATACTGAGAGAACTGACTCAGCATTTCCATTCTTAAGCAAAGTTTGTTAGTGGCTAGCAGTGGAATTCAGAACGAATCTGCGACATTATCACAGGAATACAGGCACATCCAGTTGGTAAGTCCCAAATATGAAGAAACACACGCACTAGATACCACCTCAGGTTGCTATCAAACTTCACCAACAGATTTAAATTTCCTTCTTAAAAAAAGTCAAAAAAAACCATCCAGCATTCTTCATCATTGTGCAAATCAACTAGATGATTATGCTCTGTACATTTATTTATTACTAGATTTATCGGTGTTGTCACCAAAGTCAAATTCACTAAATCATCAAACGGGAACTTTATGCTTATTTTAAGCTTTTATAGTAGTTGAAAACAGATTACAAACCAATGTATACTGGTTGCTATGGTAACCAGTCTTCAATTTTACTTTTTAAACAATTTAGTATATTGTATAGAATAACAAGACACTTATCGAAAAAAGCAAATAATAATCATAATAGTAATGATTTAAGTGGGTAATTGAAAATTATTGTGTTTTTTTTTACTAATTTAAATTGTCTAAACAATAATAAGGTAGGCTTTAACCTTATTATAAGTGAAAGCCACTTCAATATTTATATACCATTAATAAAAGTGAAAAAGAAAAAGAATTATGAAGTGTGCAAATTCATTACTTGATCAAGTGTAAATTATATCAACTTTATTGTCTCCACGAGTGTCATCGTCAGTATGTTCTAACAACAAGTGTAAGAAACAATGACAGATGTAAGGTCAACAAGAACCAATCAACATCGAGGTGTACAGGACAAGCTGTGAACTACATGTGAAGAAATTCAAGCACTTCACTTCTACCTGAAGTTTGTGCTGATGATGTCGTTCAGAAGGACGATGAAAGCTCCACGACCAAACCATCCAGCTCAGAGAATAAAACTTTATCAAAATCATCCACCTGAGCTACAAATCTTTTCCACCATATTAAATTTCTTAATAGACAAGCACTAATGTGAATGTTAATGTAAATTGTTGTTTCGTTCATACTCAAGTCGTCTCGATGTAGCATCAATAATTTTATCAGTTGATTGCGTAAATTACCCAAAATAATGATAATGTAGTCACTGATGATCGATTTCGGTACTATTCGCTATCTGTCGAGTCAATCTAGTTTTGAGAAAAAGTGGTTACTTTATTTGGATATAATAAAAAGAAAATCTTACTGTATTACAAATTCATTGTATATTGAAGTTCTAATGTAGTGTATGCTACTTATGTTGACAAAAATATAAGTATTATGTAGCACCAATGAGAAGTAGAATGCATGTGAGCAGAAGAATGAATTGAAGAGAAGAAAGAAGAGAACTTGAATCAATCAAAACAACAACGGTAATGAAGAGACAATAAAGTTTGTAACAGGGACAACTGAAGGATGATGTGTAAATAATCTATTTGATGTATGGTTTCCATATATTTTACGATGACACTCTGTAATTTTGCATTAAATAGTAAATTGGTTATCCTCATCAAGTCTTCATTCATAACATCAACAATCAGATTTCATTTGATTAGTTTAATAGAATTATTGTTGAATTTTCTTAAAAAGAAGAAAAATAAAAACTTGACCTCGGATAACAACATAAGGATACCCATCTGAAGAGACGAAATGAAGTAGTTATATCCTATTTTACTTTCATTTTCACTAGTTCTATAATTGATCACCATGGGAAACCTGAAAGTACTGGTCTAGCTTCAATTGACTCATGATCTCAACTAAATAGAATTACTAAAATCTCCACAAAAACCCCTTCTGATAACGATCATTTGCTCACTAATGACTGGCTTCAAAAGGTATTTCCTGGAGTTCTAGTGAGAAGTAGTAACCAGTGGAGTTCAATCAGGTCTGTTGTGAGATAGTAACTCACTGAAGACAATGGTAAATGTTTGCTCAATTTCGTGTTTTAGTTGAAGTTAGACATTAACACCGTTGGATACCAACTGGCTCAGTGATCTATCGGTTATGTGCTCTGGAGTGAAACTGGTAAGTCCTGGGTTCAAATCTCACGAGACGGGATCGTGGATGAGCATTGCTGAAGAGTTCCACAAGGAGAAGTCCATCCAGAGCATCCATGCTTTCCATAGTGGTTTAGCTTCAATTGATTCATGATTTCAACTACATAAAAAATTACTAAAATCTCCACCCCCTCCCGATAATTCTTTTTCTATTTTTAGTAAGTTTATAAATTCTACACTAAAATCATTTTGGATAAATCAGAATTTGATATTGATTTTTTATTATGATTAATTTTTCAGCACGAAATCAGTCTACATTTTTCTTCTTTTTTTTTTCTTATTTTTCTCATTCCTTCTAATACACATTCTGTATTCCAACTTTTATATCTCAATCTAGTTTCATGAATATATAGGCACATTAACACAGAGATGTTTATAGATAAACTAATGGAACTATGTACTATTCCATTTATTATTTACCCTACTATTTTTGTTCTCTCTTTCTCTCTCCTTCTCCCTCTCCCTCTCTCTTTCTATCTCAATCTCCTTCTCTCTCATTCTCCTATCCTGTTTTAATTTTTTACCTAAAGAAATCTTAAAATCCCTATTGGCATTCATGAAGATTTATGAAAAGTATAATTGTGAAATGATAATAATAAGGATAATGATGGACAGTTTATATTTTTTTTTTAAAAAAATGGAATAAAACTAGAATTATTCCTATTTAATAGGGAAGAGTTATTATTACTACTTATTCCATACACAGATTGTGTGATTGTACAGAGAGAAAATGTATGGGAAGTCTAAATCTTTCTTCTGAAGGACGTTTTTACTTTTAATACATTCATATTTATGTGTGTATTAATATACTGAACAATTTAAGGATGTGTAAAGTAGGTTTACTTTATTTGTATCTTTATGACCTATTCATATACTTACTTAAGCCTGTTACATCTCGTGATGGAGCATAGGCCGTCCATCATTATTTTTCATCTAACCCTGTCCTGGACAATCCTTTTCACTTGTTTCCAGTTAACATTTATCCTTTTCATATCTGCTTCTTTTTTTTGGAGTAATGTGTTCTTTGGCATTCATCTTTTCCGTTTCTCTTCAGGATTCCAAGTTAGGGATCGCCTCGTGACGTAGTTTCATGATTGCCGTAATGTATGTTCTATCCACTTCCAACAACTTTTCCTAATTTCCTCTTCATCTGGAAGCTGGTTTGTCTTCTCCCATAAAAGGATGTTGTTGATGGTATCCGGCGAGAAAAAATTATTCAAACCTGCTTATATAACTTGTGTATAAATATATTGATAGCCTATAGTCTTAACAACTTATGTTGAGAAAATACTGAATAATATTTTCATATTTACAATCATCTAACATAATATTTGCTGTCTAAAACGATGTTTAATTTTTTCTTAGAGGAAAGATATAGTGTCGTAGAGTTTAGTTAACATAACTTTCAAACATTAAATCACAGTTTTGCACTTCATTTCACCTACTTTGGTTAATACAACTGGGTACTATCACAAGTTCATATACAAATATTATAGTTTAAAACTGATTGTGTAACTCTCTACTTGTTATTTATATGAAATGAATCCATAAATTAAGGTAATGTATGAGTGTTGAACTTGAGGGATATAAACTGTTACTGATTGATGTTCTAACTAGTATGGTGTTTTAGCCTGTACATAATAATTAATAAGATTTGTCCGGTAGTCACTTTAACCTTTTGACTGAGATCATGAACCGGTCAATGTAGCACTACCACTGAAAACATGGAAGCACTGGATAACCATTTCATCCTAGTATGTGGCTCTTGAGTGGCACGGATCAGCTATCCTACACGCCAAACTCGAACCCAGGACATTCAGTTACGCGAAAACGTTTAATTTGTAAACCTTTGAACCTGGATCCTATAGTAATAATGTCTAACTTTAAGCAATTCAGTATATTGTTCGACCACATTTTCATACTAAATAAACCACTAATAAAAGAAGCTACACGAGTCAAAATATTCTATTTCAATGTGAACTGTAATAATTATATAATTTCGAACAGGTATATACTTTGGAAAAATAAATTATGAAGTTATCATTTACAACATTGTTGACAATGATGACCACTAAAAAGGATATCTCAATACAGTATCTAATAATAAACTGGTTTTTTTTTCAGTTTGTATAGTACTTAGAAACAGAATGGAATACTTATCTTACATTTTGTTTGAAATTAATTGACTGATAAATTATCCATCCATGCATTACTAATACTGTAATGAATTATCTACTAAGCTATTCAGTTACAATATTTATAAACTTCCATACTAAATTATTCTGTTTAGTGCTTTTTTCAGCAACATTTATTTCTAAAGGATAAGATTACTTTCCTAATACCCAACCCTCTTCCTTTACCCAAGCTTAAGACAACAGCCAGTAACCCTAGAAAAACTATAGGTGAAGTTAACATGCTTACTGGTATAAGTTTAGTTTTTACTTGTTATTGATTTTTAATCTATCAGTTAAAACAATAATTAATAAATAAATAAATAAATTCTTTTATATAATTGAGATCATGAGTCAATTGGAGCTAGACCATCATGGAAAACTTCAAAGCACTAGACAGTCATTTCGTCCTATTGTGGGACTCCTCAGCAGTAGTCATCGACGACTCCGCCTCGCGAGATTCGAACTCAGGACCGTCCAGTGTTTCCAAGTTTTCTATGGTGGTCTAGCTTCAATTGATTCAAGATCTTAACTATATAAAATTACTAAAATCTCCACTAAAACTCCCTTCTGATAATAATCAACATATGCTCACTAGTGACTGGTTCCATCAGGTATTTCCTCGAGTTCAAGTGAGAAACAGTAACCCGTGGAGTTCAATCAGGTCTATTGTGAGATAGTACCTCACTGAAGATATTGGTGAAATGGTTGTTCAATTTGGTGGATTGGTTAAAGTTAGACATTAACACCGTTAGATGCCGACTGATTCAGTGGTCTATCAGTTAAGTGCTCGTGAGCGAGACTGATAGGACCTGCGTTTGAATTCCGCGAGGCAAGATCGTGTATGTGCAATGCTCAACTATATAAAATTACTAAGATCTCCACAAAACCCCTTTCCGAAAATATTTAAAAATTTTTTTTTTCATTTCAGTTTAGTTTCACATTTCATATCCGTCTAGTAACTATGACGTCATCAAAATATACCATGAAAAGAAAACAATACAAGTTACTAATTATTTTCTTATTATATTTTTATTCAATTAATTCACCTCATTGTTATGCTTATTATAATTTGAACTCAATGACAAAAAATAATCACTTATCATCGGAACTAATCTCTAAGAAGGATACCATGAATCAATATGATCATTCATTAAATAATTTTCATGAATATACAGATTATACAAAAAATGATCCATTAATAGATAGTCATTTAATGATGTCTTCATTAAATGATGTATTATCTTCTTCGATGTTGCCGTCATCATCATCATCGGCATCATCGTCATTGTCATCATCATCTTCAATATCTGAACCTGTATCATCGTCATCATCATCACATAATGAAATAGAAACACATCGTTGTGAACCAATTACATTAATATTATGTAAAGGAATGTATTATGAATATACAAGATTACCTAATATGTTTCATCATGAAACACAAGAAGAAGCAGGGTTAGAAGTAAGTGTTTCTCTAACAATTTTTAAATGTTTAATGTATAGAAACGATTGAATTGTGTCAAACAACCTAGGATTGTATACAGTCGGTCAAGTTATCAAAAGGAGTAGTGAATTTTAATTGACGTAAACTGTTTAGAAGTAAAAGGGAAAATGATCTAGTTCACATTAGTTAGCGCGGTTTATCTTTATATGTTATAGATATGTTACAATTTCACTGAATGTATCAGTTCAGGGGAAACACTATAGGGATCTTTATGACTGGGATTAATTTTTTCCTATCTTATAATTTCAAATGATTATTTTAAACAACTTGCACATTACTGAAGAGTCCTATACTAAGATGAAACAGCTATCCAGTGCTTCCAGGTTTTCTATGGTAGTCTAACTTAAATTGATTCATGAATTCAACTAGTAAACCCTAAATATGATCATTCATAATAAGTCATATTAATTTATATTTACAGCAGAATCAACTGCTTACTTACTTACGCCTATTACCTCTCGTGGAGGGACATAGGCCGCTCATCAGCAATCTCCATCCAACCCTGTCCTGGGCAATCCTCTCCAGTTCTTCCCAGTTGTTATTCCTCCTTTTCATATCTGCTTCTATTTCTATAATCAATGTGTTATTTGATCTTCCTCTTTTCCGCTTCCCATCCAGATTCCAAGTTACAGTTTCATGATTTCCGTAATGCATGTCCTATCCACTTCCAACGTCTTTTCCTAATTTCCTCTTCATCTGGAAGCTGGTTTCTCTTCTCTGTTGCTGATAGTATCCAACCAGTGAATGTTAAGTATCTTGCGTAAGCAACTGTTCATAAATACTTGTACCTTCTTGAGAATCAACTGCTACATACAACTTTATTGAATATAATAAGTTAAATGAAAGAGTTTTATGTTTATTCTGGACAGTATCAATAACACTATTTCATTGCAATCATCTATTTATACGATAAACCTCCATTATATTTGGCAAATGTTTAAAAGAAGATTTAACTAATCTACTAATATGCATTCAGTCATGTATTTAACATTTACTTAAAACTAGGTAGTTTATATATGTTAAATTGATAAACTCTTAAAGTCCAGGAAATAATATACATTCAATTAGTTCCAACTTGACACTCTTCGATAATGTACACCATTATCCTAAGTAAGGATTAAATCCAAGAATTACATATGGCTTTCTAGATTTTAACTGTCAAATACCTACTTGAAAAATTCCCATATTGTGATTTAGAACAACATATATATCAGCGAACAATATTGTTTTCGATTAGATCCTAATCAGGTTTTACTCTAACATACTGTAATATTTATATGCATATACGAAATTATTAAACCAATCAAGGCAGTTTATAAGTTAATGAAGTTTGTGCTGATGATGTCGTTCAGAACGACTTTGAATGATCCACGACCAAACCATCCAGCTCAAAGAACAAAACTCCATCAAAATCATCCACTTGAGCTACAACTCTTCTTCACCATCTCAATGATAACAGTGGAATAGATTGCATAACTAAACATAATAAGTGAAAAGTATAAATTGATTGTGTAATGACAGGTGTACTAGTTGTGATAAGAATAATAAAGGCTTGAATCCATGTGTCATAATGGAAAATAGTTCATATATAGACACTGAAGTAACATTCATTAAAGCTAAAAGATTACTCAATAACAAGTGTTCAGATAATTGGACAATGAGGCATATATTTGAAAAACGGGTAGGAGGGGGTTAAGAAAAATAAACCAACAAAGAATATGAGAAATAAAATCATTTATTAGGGTCAAGAGAGGTATAAGTGTGTTATAAATTTCTTGTGGGCACAAAGACACAAAGGACACAAAGGTTGTTGGCTCGAATTCCTATAGCTTCTGCTATGTGTAAGAGACGAGATCGAACCTCATAAGGAAAACTAGTAGGAATAGGATAAATAACTTTAAATGATTTATTTCTGTCAGCTATATATTTTGATAGTTGAGACCATGAATCAATTGAAGCTAGACAACCCTGGAAAACCTAGAAGCACTGGACGGCCGTTTCGTCCTATCGTGGGACTCCTCAGCAGTGCGCATCCACGATCCCGACTCGCGAGATTCGAATCCAAGACCTGTCAGTCTCACACGCGAGCACTCAACCACTAGACCACTGAACCGGCCGATATCCAACGGTGTTAATGTCTAACTTCAACTGATCTACAAAATTGAGCGATATATCCATCATTGTCTTCAGTGAGTTACTATCTCCCAGCAGACTTGTTTGAACTTCACTGGTCACTGCTTCTCACTAGAACTCCAGGAAATACCTCATGGAGCCAGTCAATAGGGAGCATATGTTGATTAATATCAGAAGGGGATTTTGTAGAGATTTTAGTAAGTTTATTAATAGAATAGGTTCTGAACTTTTAAAAGTCAATGATTGAAAATAGAACACAATGTTAATGCATATATCAACAACAACAACAACAACAACAAAAATCAGTGTGAAAGCAAATTATTCCACATTTAATCAGTATAGTCAATATGATGAAAAGAATAGAGAATTCTGATGGGTGGCCTATGTTCTTTTATAAAGGGTAACAAGTGTACCAGTCTAATGAAAGTATAGTTTATTATCAATAATTAAGAATAAATAAAATCTTCACTATCAGTTACAAGTACCTATGTGTTTGTATCATTAAATTTTATATTTTTTTAAAGATGAGAAACTATATTACTTATTAAATTAGGCATAATAAAACATAAATATGATGGTAATAACAAAATATACTTTTATATTATTATCATTGTTATCATTATCACTATTATTATGATTGCTAGTAGTAGTAGTAGTAGTAGTAGTAGTAGTAATAGTAGTAGTAGTATTAGTAGTAGTAGTAGTAGTAGTAGTAGTAGTAGTAGTAGTAGTAGTAGTAGTAGGAGGAGGAGGAGGAGGAGGAGGAGGAGGAGGAGGAAGAAGAGGAACAGGATTAATAGTAGTATGGTTTAACAAACCATAAAAAAGAAGAATATATATATTAAAATATAAAGAGAATAGACCACCCATGTATTTATTCCTGGGTATACCAGTACTGTAATTTTATCTAAATAATTAGATATTTAGAAAAGATTAGGGGTTGCTTTATAAATAGGTACATATACAAGATTAGTTATAGGGGTATATCTACACTGAATAGTTGAGACTATGGATTTATTATTGTTTTGGTACCATTATTATTATTATTATTATTATTATTATTATTAGTAGTAGTAGTAGTAGTAGTAGTAGTAGTAGTAATACTGATACTAATAACAAAAAGAATATTCCATTTTTATCAGTAGTATAGTAAATAATAAGTGTACTTGATAAGCATAGATTACATATGTAGTTCAATGTTCTATGTCATTACTCAAAATATACTACTTATTTACATTTACTTTACAACAAGATAAACAAAAGAATGTTATACTGATAGTATATCATTTATTGTTATTAAAGATAAACTTTATATTGTTACAGTAACTAAGTAATAAAAATTACCTGAAATTGCCATAGTTATTACTTGTAAATAATAGCGAAAGTTTAAGTTAGGTATTTTTTAAATTTACTTGGTATTGTTCATTTGAATTTTCTCATTGATGGTTAGCACTGCAATTGGTCAGTCTCTTATTGGCATAAGTGTATACTGTGTGTATCGCTTCGTTATAGCCTTAATTTACAAGCATTGTCAACATAGGTAGATAGTGGATAGCAGTGGAATGCAGTTTTATGCACGTTTCGTCTTATTTAGGACTAGTCAGATGGATGTACCTGCAGCTCAGAGTTGACGTTCACTTTGGAACTCGAACCCAATACCGTCCACTTCAAACGGCATCACGTTATCAACTTAGCTACTGAATCTTGATAGTTACTTAGTTGTGTAATGGGGTGAAGTTTAAATTCACTTGGTATCGTCTACTTGAATATTCCCATTAATGTTTAGGACTGCAACTGATCAGGATTTAGTAGCTGAGTGGATAACGTGTTGGCGTTTGAAGTGGATGGTACTGGGTTTGAATCATAGTGTGAACACCAACTCCAGGATTCAGGTACATCCAGTTGACGAGTCCCAAATAAGACGAAGCGCGCGTCCTGGATTCCACTGCTAGCCACCATTCATCTTTGCTTAAATATTTTCTGTTATTCGCTAATGAAAACAATGTAATGGTTTGCTCATGTATAATTATGTGTATGAATGTGTTCAGAGGTTATTAATAATCACTTCCTGACCCAAATCAAGTTAGATTAAGTTAATTTTGAACTTATAACTCTGTGGTTGATATTTGAGTGTTTTAATTATCACTTTACTTAATCGAATTCAAAGATAACTCTGGAAAGCTTAGAGCCAATATACAATTTAATTATTTAATCCACTTAAACTATTCATTATTCATTTAAAGCACTTACATGGCATTCTAAGAAATTAGAAGAAAATTACAATGGACAAAGATGGATTAATAAAAGATAAAACAAAATGACAGATTACTGAAATTACAGTAATAAAGTATTCTAGTTTGTTAGATCTATTTACAGCTTCATCATTAACAATATTTGTCATTGAGATGGTGGGGAAGATTTGTAGCTCAGGTGGACGATTTTGATAAAGTTTTGTTCTTAGTATCAAACTAATAATCTGTGTTCGCTTATGAACCTATGAGGGAATGAACTCGTGATTAGTTACATATAACCCACTATTTTAGAATCTGACGATCCGCATTTCTGATTTAAGTAAAAAGCGAACAATAACTATAATACGTCTTGACGAACTACACATTTATAAAGCGTTATGGTCACTAGGGTAGTAAGCAGTGGTATTATTTAGTCGACTGAGCTAATTAAACCCTATTATTTAAGTTGAAATAAAACTTTCAGGCTAGATGATTTGACATTGTCGTGGGCAATTATCTGGCTAATGCAACATATGAGATAGCTGATGGGTTTAAGCTCACATGTAGACATGGGACATTAGATATAAGTATAAC